CCCCCCCCCCCCCCAACCGTGCTTCTCTGAAGCCAATTCAGCAACAAGCAAGACTCCTTGCCCTTGGAGCTTGTAACTGTTTTCCAGACTAGTCAGTTTGGGCAAATGGGGAAGTTTGCTGGCCTCCCTTCCCCCAGAGTAAGACAGCCCGGACCTGGAGGGTTACAAACTAGATCCAACCAATATTCCCTCTTGACTTACTTGTTTATTTATCTAACATCACCTTGTTGCGCAAAAAGGCTTGGGTGGTCAGAAGTACAAAGACACTGAAGCTGGGATCAAGACAGAGAAAGGCAAGTGCTGGGAGCTCCTAGACCGGCAGGGCCAGGCTGGGGACAGAACAGGAGGTGAGCCTGGTGGGCCTGGAGCGGCCACGCTCTCCCCGCAGGGACAGCTGCTCCTGCTGCAGTGGGCTGCGGCCTCGAGGAAGAACACGCCCAAGGGCTGGCAGATCTGATTTCTCAAAGGATGGGAGAAATGCAAATCTTCTGATTTATAAATATCAGAAACTCAATTTTTTAGAAACTTCTGGTTCAACTCTCTGAGGTTAGAAGTCACGTAGTGGTTTTCCATGGTGGGGTGGGGAATGACTGGGAGGGGACAACACGGGGATTGCCGGGAACATTCTGTCCTGATTTGGGCTGGTGACAAAGGTGTGTGCAGTTTGTGAACATCTCATGGAGCCACACACTTACGATTTGTGCCTTTCCTCTCAGATAAAAAGGTAAAAAAAAAACCCACCAGCAGCATCAAAACAACTGCAGACTGGCTAAAGCATGTCAAGAGCCTGGATCTGATCAGTGGGACACTGGTTACAACTTTTGAAACAAGACAGCAAAGGAAGTTAGGCAGTCGATGTAGAAGGGAAGGTCCCAGGGTCCCAGGCTGATTCACATGAAGTCAGAAATCCAGTTAGAGCTTCCCAGTAGCCCAAGCGAAATAGGAAATAAGAATCAGTGATATGATATGTCAGGCCCAGGAGGGAAAAAGATAAGATTCCCCCCAAAAACTTCCTGGGCACATGGGACTAACAGAACACGTCCTGTGACATTTGTGTCACTGGGTGAGAAGGAGGTCTTATTTAATGTCTCTGGCTCATTTTATGATCCTTGGCTTTTGCTGCTCTGGGAAAAGCAGCTTCTCCTCTGCTGAGCCTCCTCCTTGGCACAGAAGCCTCCTGGTCCTGCCCAGCCCTCCTACCCCTCGACTGGAATGTGAACAAACCTGCTGGTAAAACAAAAACACAACCAAGTGCTGCGGGCAGGAGAGGGGCCCGGCTGGCTGGCTGGCTGCGGGGAGCTCACCGTGCATGTCCATCATTCCCGGGGAGGAGCTGTTCTCCGGGGTGGTCACCTCTGAGCCACACTTCTCATCTTTACCCTTTTTCTTGTTCTTGTTTTTCTGGAGGAGAAAAATGATGCAGAAACCAAGTCACCAAATTGTGTGTGTGTGTGCACGCGCGAGTGAGACCCTGGGGAGCGAGATGAATATTTTATTCCACTGACTCATCCTGCAGCCCCCAGGGCTCTGGAGGGCTCCACTGGCCCGCATTTGAACATGTCCCATGAGGAGCCTCACCTGCTTTGGAATCAAGGAGCCCTGTGGAGGGGAGGCTTCCGGGGCTGGGCTGGGGGTAAGGCTGCCTTGCTTCCGGGGCCAGCCCCGCAGGCATGCAAACACCCTGGCTGGCGGGAATTTCCTCTGGGGAAAAGGCCATGGTCACCCTGCCCGAAGCAGGTACAGTACAGGGATGCCAGGTGAGGGATGGAAAAGACAGCTCACACATTTCCACCATCTTCAGGCCCCTGGGACTGCCTTCCTCAAAGACAGTCAGCTGACTTCCGGCCCGACACCGGGGACCAGGTGAGGAGGGAAAGCCCAGGGGAGGAGGGAAAGGTCAAGGGGATGCTTTTGTACATGGTTCCATTTTTTACAGATGGAATGGAATTGTATGGAAACAACCTAACTGTGTCCATTGGTAAAAGACTTGTTAAACACATTACAGTACATTCACTCAATGCAGTGGGATGTGACCATTACAGAGTCCAAGCACAAGCTCTTCCTGTACTAATACGGAAGGATCCGTAGAAATATTCACATATTAAAATATTTCAGTATCTCCAAGATGTATTAAAGAAAGGTGCAGAACATGTGAACAGGATGCTGCCACTGGTGGTAAAGGAAGAGCATAAATGAGCGTGTGTTTGTATTTTTGCGTGCACAAGCTCTCTGGAAGGATAAACAAATACTGGTTGTCTTCAAGGAAAAGAGATGGATGGGGTGGGAGGTGTTCAGCCGGGATGGGAAGCAGATGTATAAAAAGATAAGACTGTAAAAAAAAAAAGTAACATTTGAAGAATATGCAAACCTATAGAAACAGAAAGTAGACTGGTGGTTTCCAGGATCTTGGGGAGGGTATGCGTTTTGTTTTCGGGGTAATGAAAATGTTCTGGAATTATAAGGGTGATGGTTGCACAACTGTAAATATACCAACACTGACTGGCACACTTTAAAAGAGTGAATTTTATGGCATGTGAATCGCTTTAGTTTTAAAAAAGAGTTTTAAAGTAACAATTGAATCTTGTAACATGTTTTACCTATTTAAGAGAAGAGAATTTTCAAGAGTTCTGAAGAAAAAAAAAAATGATGTAACCACATCATTACTGGGTGTTTGAAAACAAGAAAAGAGGGACTTCCGATGGCGGTCAGGTAGTTAAGGCTCCATGCTTCCAATGCAGGGGACGTGGGTTTGATCCCTGGTCAGGGACCTAAGATCCCACATGCCGCGTGGCCAGAAAAAAACCAACCAAAACCAAAAACATGGAAAGCTATCCCTTCCCACTGAAGATTACCGGCCACAACCATCAGAGATTCGGATCCAGCTATCCAGGGTGAGGTCCAGGAACCTGCATTTTGTTGAGACTCCCAGGGGATCTAATGCTCAGCCAGGCGGGGGACCCACCACCCTAGAGAAAGGGGGGAGGAGTATTGTACATCTTGGCTCAGAGATGACAGTGAATTAGCATCCGAGCACTGTCTGCACAGCTGTGCTGAGCTAAATTCTCCCCATATGATATGCTGCCTTTGCTCTGTTGCAGAAACCCCAGGAGCTGGATGTTACTGTTCTACAGCACAAAAGAGGGAACTAACCCAGAAAGGTGGGGTCACCCGTCTGGCATCACAGGTTAATTGGGGGTAGTCTGTCCAAATCCAAATCTTGAGGTCTTTGCCCAGCCCCAGGCTGCCCTGTCCTTCCTGATAGCCTGATATATTACATTCTCTCCTTTGTCACAATCCATTTGGCACTTCCCTGATGTCTGTTTCATGCTATTCTATAATTATCTTCACCCAACAAGATTATAAATTCCTTGAGAGCAGGGACCACATCTTCTCAAATGCAACCATCGTTTATACAACACCTAATGATGTGCAAGGCGCAGACGTGGGCAAGAGCCAGGAGCTGCCTTCGAGGAGGCTAGCTGCACTCTGCTCTCCCTCCGGAACGGCCGGCACCAAAGGCCAGGACAGTCTGTGTCGGTGCCTCTGGGGAAAGCAGCCCTGTTGGCTCCACGAACCAGCCCAGGCGAGGACCAGAAGGGATGACAAGCCCCCACGTTCTCAGCCCAGCACCGACCCACCCAGGGGCTGCGTGTGATCAAAGGGTCAAGAATGGAGCCTCAGCCCTGCCAGGAGACCCAAGACTCGTGGGGCAGGTCACTGGAGACTGTGGAGGGAGGCTTTATTCCGCGGTTCTTTTTTTTTCTTGGCCACGCCACATGGCAGGCAGGATCTTAGTTCCCTGACCAGGGATTGAACCCGTGCCCTCTGCAGTGGTAGTATGGAATCTTAACCACTGGACCGCCAGGGAAGTCTCTGCCCCGCCTTATGGCCCCTAGAAACCTACCAATCATGCCCACTGTCACGACTGGAGGCATGTGGTCAGTGTGAGCTGAGCCATCCTTGCATAGTAGGGAAGGCACTCAGGGAGGACGAACAGCCCATGCAAAGGCCTGTCAGTGGGACCATTCTGGATTTTGACTGGAAATGAGAGCAGCTGACCTGTGGGTCTTTGAGGGTAACTGGCCTGGGACCCACCAAGCTGAAAAACTATCCGTGATGCGGGGCAGGCCTGTCATCAATGCGTCCCTGAGATCAAGCACAGCCACGAGGCCTTCCTCTAGCGGTCATAGTCGCCGCCCCTCCTGGAACCCTCCCCTGCCAATGGCGCCTGCTTCTCCACACCAAACTTTCACGCTGGGGTCACCCTTCACCAGCAGCTCCAACCACCAGAAGGCTCTCCAAGAGTGGAGAGAGTATGTGCTTTGGAGTCAAAAGACCTGACATTTGCTGTGCGACTGGGGAAACGGCTTTGCCTCTCTGAGCCTGTGTCTTCCCTTGTCCAGAGTGGATAAAGAGCTCACTCCACAAAGTAATGCCTGGCAGATGGTCAGGTGCCAAGAATGGCACTACAACGATGGGGGAGGGTCTGCCTGTCTGCAGGTACCGCCATGCCCACCGCAAAGCCATGGTGCCCAGGGCCTCAGGGAGAGGATACCTCTGCACTAAGCAGTGTGCCCACTGGCAAACCATGGGGCTGTCAGCCCCGAAGAGTTGACTTACAGGGGACATTCCCCACCTCTCTGAGGGCCAAACTCTGGGGCTGGATGATGGGGGGAGGGGTAGACACAGGGTCAGCAGCC